AGGGCTGCCCCTTGCTGGGCCTGGCTGTGCCCGCGCTGGGGCTTCTCAAGGCTGCCCCTCTCTGGGGCTGGGGTCTATGTACCCCACACACAACCCGGGGTCTTTGTTCCCCGCCCGCAACCCACTGGTTGCGCTCAGGGGCCCCACACCTCTGGGGTCCCTATGAGGATAACGCGCCCTCTTGGCGCTAGACTGCGCCCTCACTGGCGCTGGGGCACCCCACCTTCCCTGGGGTCCCTACGAGAGCCCTGCGCCCTCCTCGGGCACTAGGGCACCCCACACTCTCTGGAGTCCCTATGAGGCCTCCTCCAACCCCTACAGCCTCACCCAAACCTCCGGTGTAATATGCAAGCTGAACATAAACTCGAGCCTCCTGGCTGTAACGCAAACATAAAGCCCCCTGGCTAAACCATAGTGCCCAATCCTCTCAGGGCTATCGTGAGCTGTACTTGCAAGTCAGGCTTCTTCCCATATCTTGGCTGAGGGAGGCCCTGCCCCTCCGGCTGCTGGCAGGGAACTGCCAGCCTGGCCTCAGCCCTGGGCTTTATAAGGGCCGGGCCCTGCCTCCTACAGGCAGCTGGCTCCCCTTAGTTGCTCCGGCAACCCGCAGCTGCACTTGTTACCCTGGCAACCCTCAGCTGGGCTCCTTATGACCTGCCAGGGCTTGGTCTCTCTCTCCCTGGCAGTTTCTCCTCTCTAGGAGCAGAGCACCTCGGTGCTCTGCGACAAGAAGAAAGTGAAGAAAGCCCCAAACTAATAACATGTGGCTGCAGTGCTCATTTGATGTGCTCCTAATACAGCATAGCAAAAATAACCCCCCCAATATCTATGATTAATCTAGTGAATTGGAGATAGTTCACCTCCCAATGACTTCACAAGTATCTGTTTCAATTAGCTTTGGTAAAATAACCAAATTATAATTCAGTTTTCTGCTGCATTTGCAAAACTCATCTGAAAACATATCAAAATAAATCACTGCTTTAAAATGTATAGTGCGGCCTTCTAAAAATGAAACCTACATCTATCTCTGACTTGTGAATAATATATATTAAGGGTATATCAAACAACAAGAATGAACTTTTTGTAGAAAACAATTAAATTGAAGCTTCCTGACTGGTGATTTACATCGATTTGATTTCAATCACACACCCCCGCCTCTCTGCTAAGCACACCTTGTAGGAAAAATAAGCATTGGCCAATCTCAAAGCACAAGTTTGCAAATTTAACCCTATACATGCAAGTTTCCAGAGTTACTATTATCTGAGACGCACTGAGAAGACCCAGGCTCTGAAAATGAGTCTGATGCTAAGGTCACTTAGAAACGGACATGCCCCATATCACTGGTCACTTTGATAAAGAGGCTGACTGCAATACTTCTCCTTAACCTTACTCCTAGAAGTACTCTTTGCATGAGTAGACACACCAGGTGTACCAGCGCACACAAGAACTACAGGAATGTCTGTCAAATCATGTTCTCCAATGGTGCAACTAGTATCATCTTAAGTAACTGAAAGCTTTTTGATTGTTTGAGTAATTTCATACTTAGAGTGGGTGCAGGAAATTCAGGCATTAGATACAGATTTTTGTTACAAAGCCTTCCAACTTTCACCGGGTACCCGGTAGCCTGAGTAGACAGCAAAAAAGATGCCGACTTGCATCATGGTCATACCTAAACCGTGCTGACCTTCCCCAACCCTTCCATACAGACCTCAGGCTTCTGGGTGCCATGACAAGTTCAGAGCTTTCCAGCCCCAAGCTAACGGCACGGAAGGGAAGCTTTGCCTTCTTTACTTGCACACCCTCCTCTCCAAACCGAGCAGCGAACATGACAACAGAAATGGGATTGCTCTCTTTTCCCCTCTCTTTCTCTTCCAAAGAAAGCACCTTTTCCCTCCGCTATCCCCTTAGTAAGAAAGAGAAGTCAGTGGAGGCAGGTTCTTCTTTCTCATACAATCCTTTCAAGCTGGGGGAGAAGAGAACTTCCCATTCATCATGTAGGGTCCCCTGCAACTACCATGTCTGTGGCTACTCCATTTCCAGAGTACAAAGGCGCAGTCAGTCTCTGCTGCTGATATAGCTATTTTCAATAAGAGGCACCACCACACTCTGCACATTGCCACCCCAACCGAGGGCGAGTGGAATGGACTCTCCTCCTCAAGCCTTCCAAGTCAAAACTACAGACAATACAGGAAATGTTTATAAGTCACTGCCTGCCTCTGCTGCATCCCAAAGCTATTTCAGCATAACAAGCCCCTGTTTCTTTCCCCATCTCCTCCTCCAAAACCATCCCAACCTCTTTGGCAAGAACTGCAGTCTGCTATTACAGACAGACAGTTCACTGTGTTTCCAAAAAAACCGTGCATTCTTCAAGCATAAACCAGCCCTCCTGCCCGGAGCTGAACACGCTCCAAGCAGCAGTCATCTAGGCTGAAGGATTGCGTACTTCAGTGATAACCCCGCCTCTTAAAAACCTCTAAATGACTTCCAGTCTCACAATCTGAGCACGAAGCAGGCTGCTTTATTAGCAGGCAGCTGTAAAATCCTTTTTTCCCAGATTTGTTAGAAAGCCCCCAAACATAAATCCAAGAGGGTGTTCCTGTTATACATGGCAGTGACAAACTGAGCATAACGTAAACAAGGCAGCTGCACGGCAAATCTATTTAAAGGCATTTGGGGTTCAATCGTGTTCTTTCCACTTCATTCTGGCAATATCCCAGGAGCCATTTATCATGCATAAGA